GGTCTTCGAAGTGTTCGAAGAGTTGGCCCCGATGGTGGTGCTGTTGTGGCGGGGATTGTTGGTGCCGCTGGGGCTTCGACTACCTTACGCGGTCGTCCTGGCCCTCTTTTGAGTCCATCAGCCTTTTTACTGGTGACCAAAGTGAATCCCTGATCATCAATTGGTCTGACTGTTTGTGTTGGCGCCATTGTTGGTTTTTCATTCCAAATATCTGCCGTTCTCGATAACAGCTCCATCCGAGCTTTCTCCACACTACCCTTGTAAACCTGGTAGGTCCGACACGCTGCTTTCTGCCACGAACGATGTTCCTTGCCGCAGTTCGCACAAGAAACCCTTTTCCTCGGATAGTCCCGAGTTTGGTGAGCGCCAGCGCACTCACCGCACCTGGCTGCCTTTCCACACGACGCCTGCGTGTGTCCCCATTGGCTGCAGTTGTAACACTGCTTTGGCTGAGCCCGTGGCGACCATACCTGCGCGGTGAAGAGCATGGCGTTAATGACAAGGCCCTGTCGCACTACCTCCGTTTGCATTGCCTCCGATGGGAGGCTGACCACAATTGAACCGCGATTGCGACCGTTTTTCTTCGATCGCTGATGTTCCTTTCCATCATGTAGCCATCGTATTCTGCTAATAACCAGGCCTGGAATACGTGCCTTGGTCGCCGTCTCAATCTCCCTGATAATGGCGTAGTTGTTGGCATCTCTGCCACCCTCAATTCTTGTCCGCAGTGGGACTCCGGAAACCTCGACAGGAAAGTCTTGCCGCAAAATTTTAAAGTCCGTTGGTTGCCGCATATTAAGCGCCGCGTCTCTCTGGGACGCCGACTGGACAAACACCTCGGTGTCGTTGCTACGCATCTGTCGAATTGCAAATGCGCCTTCGATGTGTTGTTGTGCCTTTGACAGCAGCTCTTGTGGCTGCAGGTTTTGTGCGCCATCGATTCTTATCCTAACCGCTGTTTTCGTCATTTGGGGAGCCACGACCGACGCGTAGCTCCTTTGTGTCGGCGCGCCCGAAACCACTGCTGGTGCAGCTTTTCGAGCAGGATCCGCGAGGCTCTTTTTGACAACCTCCTCGAGCGCCATCATCCTCTCCTCGATAGGAGACTTCTTCTGGGACATTTCCGTCCAGGCCTTTTTGTGCGCGTTGAAGGCCTTGATGGCCTCGTTCACGTCCTCCATTGAGGGTAGGTCCTCCTCATCCCCCTCTCCCATCACGATTAGTCTAACCTTTTTCAATAGTTTCCCTAAAATTTCAAGGTTCTTATCCTTTGGAGCTGTTTGCGCTCCGCTGCCGTTGTTTGATTGTGCCATTTTCGCATTTTGCGACGCGTCGAATCCGCTGGATTTACCCACACCAGCACCCACACTCGCCATGTTGGAGCACGGAAAGCGAAAAGATGATAGGAGGGTAATAAAGATGTAAAAATAATAATCACGATGTCAAATTGGTGATACGGGTAGCGTAGAACGCTGCGCAGCTTTCTGGCAAAAATGATGTTTTTCTCTATTATTATTATTATTATTATTATTATTATTATTATTACTATTATTATTATTATTTGAATTTGAATTTGAATTTGATTTCATTACCCTGATTTGGCGCACTATGGGCCCATGCAGGTGGCTTTAAACTCTATTTATAGGTATTTTACATGAGGGGGAAACCTTCCGATAAAAACCCCCTTCTCCTTCAAATTATTACTGTAGTACTTCGTTAACCCACAGGAAGCGCAATTGGCCATTAGTTCGAGACAGAACTAGCTAAAGTATACCTCGGCATCCTTCCCTTTTCCTCGCGTGTTGAAAATGGATGCCTGTGGTCTTGAAGTTGACGCCGATGGCGTCGATAATGGTTGTAGTGCTGGGACTAGGACCTGTTTCCGCGGGCGTCCTGGTCCCCTTTTCTGGCCTTCTACCCTTTGGCTGGACACTAGTGTGAACCCCTGGTCGTCTACTATTTTTGCCGTTTGTTTATTTTGAGGTTCCGTTCGTGTAAATTCCTCTCGTCTTAAGTTCGCCGTTTTCTCCATGAGTCCATACCGCGCCCTCTGAACGCTGGCCTTATATTCCGCGAAGTTCTGACACGCCCCTTTCTGCCACGACATATGGGCTTTACCGCAGTTGCAGCAAAGCACCGATTTCTTCGGGCAGTCCCTGGTCTGATGGGTGCCCGCACATCCTCCACATCTCCTTGCCTTATTGCAAGAGGCTTGGGTATGCCCCCATTGACTGCAGTTGAAGCACTGCTTTATTTGCGCTCGGGGTGACCAGAGCTGGGCCGTGTACAGCATTGAGTTGAAGACAATGCCGTTTCTTATCACTTCGCGTTGAAGTGCCTCTGTCGGTAGGCTCGCTACTACTGACCCTCGAGTATGGCCATTTTTTCTCATCCATTGGTGCTCTTTGCCGTCGAAAAGCCACCTCACCCTGCTGATTTTTAGATCGGGAAACCGAACTTTTGTCTCCTCCGTCATTTGGTATATCAATGTGCCGTTGTTGGCATCTTTTCCTCCTCGTATCGTTGTCCCCAATGGGACTCCCAAAATCTCAACAGGATAATCCTGCTTCAAGACGCAGAACTCCTTTGGCTGCGCCATCCTCAAGGCAGCGTCTCGTTGGGAGACCGACTGCACATACACCTCAGTGTCGTTGCTCCGTAGCTGCCTAACAGCGTATGCCCCTTCGATGTGTTGTTTCGCCTTGTAAAGCAGCTCTGCCGGCTGCATCTTTTCTGCTCCTTCAACTCGTATCCGTACTGCTGCTTTAGTCGCTGGCGGTGCGACGACTGAGGCATAGGTAGGTCGACCTCCCATTATTTGTGCCGATTGAGGAGCCGCCTTGCGCGCCGGCTCCTCGAGACTCTTCTTAACTGCCTTTTCTAAGGCCAGCATCCTTTCCTCCATAGGTGTTACCACTAGCTTCGATCGTAGCATCTCAGCGTGGTTTTTGAAGGCTTCGATAACCTCATCTATCTCCGTCATCGGTGCCGCAGATTTGTCAGTGCCTGCGATAACCAGTTTGTCTCGAACCTTACTTAAGTAATACCCTACAGTCTTTAGGTTGTCCATGTTAACGCCTGTAGATGTCGCGAGAGAATCTACAGCCGTTATTGCGGCGGTTCCGCTGTCCGTTGGTGGTGGTGGTGGTGCCGTGAAAATTTTTCCTGCAGTGAAAACCACATTTCTGGTTCCCCAATCCACCATGCCGAAGCGCAGTGCGAAAAAATCGGGGAATCGGATAATAAGGTTCGATTAAGATAGTAGCAATTAACGAAACGATGAAATAACGCTCGTGGAACGTTGTGCCGCTTTTGACCAAATGATGATGTTTTTCCTTATTATTAATATTATCTTTATTATTATTTGAGTAGAAGGTTCCGTGGAAGAGGTGGCCGAATTCCGCGGGTAAACACTGAGCTGAATAGCTATTCATCACGGGCAATATATCAATGATATTGTTAAACTTTGGTGCAGCAGATCGATTGTTGTGTAGTAACTCTATTATTAAAAGATGGTCTCTAATTATTACAAAATCTAATGCCTCGCGATACTCGCGTAGTATACTAATCTTTACCTTCACGTGATGCTTACGACTTGGTCTGATACAATCTATTTCAACAGATATTATAAATGACAAAAGAGCATAGGACCACTGTAAAAGGTATAGCCTGGATCAGACAGGAGGCTAATGTGCTAGATAGTCATAGACTCAAGTAATACAATAAACACATCATAACTAGGCTGCAACGTAATCCCTTGGAACGAGCAAAGAGATGGCAGAAAGTTAGAATAGGATTCAATTTTTGTTTGACAATACTACATCCGCGGCTATAGTTCTACAAGATAGATGAGTAGGCCAGGGGCTTTCCGCTTTTCTTCTCTAGATTAAGGTTGTGATGGAAGTCATTATGATACACTACATGTTTTTATTTTGAGATTCAAGTACCAAATTGGAATTGGAGCTGAAGCTTCAAAAAGCACCATACTCATTCTCACGCAGGATCAGGGAAGTGACAAAATTGATTCGTCGCTGAGCCTCTGCTTGAAATTTGGCCTCACTGTTTGAATTAGCCGTTCATCGACTTTACATCAGACGCGTATGGATGACCAATTCGAAGTCGAACCTATTTCCTGTTGTTTCTGTATCACTTTTATCCCCATATTTTTGATAAGGCAGATGTCATAGTTGATTCGTATTGTATCATTAAATTCTCTTTTTTCAGTAACATTTCAATGGTGGAAGAAATATTCTTCATACTATCGAAAAACATTGGTGATACTTAGGAGCTTAGTGACATGTAAATTGATGATGTTCTTCGAGATGTATAAAACTTTGCTAGTCACGGAATAAACTTGGAAAAGTGGCAGACAGCTAAGGCCAGCACCAAAGGATGAAATGCTAAGAATTGATCTCACCAACCTCTTATTTCTGCAGAAGTTTGTGAGGAATGTCAATTTAAAAGGTTTTTTCTACATGACATGATGACTATGCCATATAATATTTCTAAAAGAGAAGCTTTTGAAAGTGAGAAAGTACGTGGTGTTTCTAGAGAGCCCAATCTCTCTGCATATTCATAAAAGCAAAATTAAACTGAGAAAAAGGGTTGAGAGACTGTATTAGGTTCTGCCCAGCCAATCGATAATTTGTCGTGGAATGAGTTCCAGAAAATCAATGCAATATACACGTTTTAGGAAAGAAGCAACATCAGAACTTTCGTAATCGCATAAAAAAGAAGACATCTAATGCACTTTTTATACATGGGCATCATCTAAATTGCAGATCCCCGCCCATCTGGAACTTTTGCGATAACGCTAACAGGAGAAATAGCTATCCAGGCAATGGACACAGAGAAGTAAAGCCAAGCAGACAGGCAAATTCAAGTGCAAGGAGACGCCATGATCGATTTATCAAACTCCATTTGTCAAACATAGACAAGACGCATAGTGACTGGATCAAAGTTAAAACGATCCCGATGATAGGCTGATGTCTTACCTGAATTTACTGAAATTGAGCATAATGCTGTGCTGGTGGCATTCCCATGGTGTTATATTGCGGAGGCGGGGGTGCAGGACGGTAAGGAGTTCCAGCTGGCCCAGAGTTATTCTGGGATCTTCCCCATGAGAGGCGAACACGGGAGTTTCCAATAGGATAGCCTTGCATTTGGTTGATAGCCATCTCTGCTGCATGTCTTTGTACAAATTGAACAAATCCGCATCCCTTTCCCGGTGGAATCTTCACGTATGTTATTTCGCCGAACCCCTGGAAAAAAGAGCGCAATTCATCTTCGGTAACATATCCAGAGAGACCTCCGACAAATACAGTTGTGTTGTTGGGGTCAGTGAATTGATTCATCGGCTGAGGAGCTCCATAATAGCCCATAGGGGGGGGTGCCCCCATACCGTACATACCAGATGCCGCTCCCATTCCGCCCTGAGGAACCATTGTTATGTTGACAGGGCCTCCTGCTGCTCCTGACTTATTTTTCGGAGTAGCAGTTGATATTCGCATTGGACGATTACCGCAGTAGACACCTTGCATTTCCGTGAGGGCCCGTTGTTGATCTTGTTCGTCGGCAAAGCGAACAAATCCATAGCCGCGTGACATTCCGGAAATAGGATCAGTCATAATTTTGGCTGACTTACAAGAAGGAAAACGAGCTTGAAAAAGCGATACCAGAACGTACTCATTAACCTCTGGTCCAAGATCACCGACAAAAATAGAAAACTCTGGACCTCTTTCATCCCTAGGTTATTGTAAGCCAAGTTTTTGAAGGTCTGATAAGTAAAATGTAGATTTTCTATTACCGTCTGTCTGTAAGGCCTCCTCCGGATGCCCAGTTGAGTTTAAAAGGACGCGAAGTATTAGGAATCATAGATCCATTTAGTGAAAGAGCCTTTGCAGCTGCTGCTGGAGATGTGAAATCAATGAAACAATATCCGGCGTTGCTAAATTTATTCAGTCACCACGCGTCAGGCCCTTATATGGTTACATACCCAGAAAATTTGTCGCGAATCATCTTGACATTTACGGTTTCGCCCATTCCGAACCAGACTGATCTTATAAAGTTTTCGTCAATCCATGGTTCAAGCTCACCCATCCTAAGAAAGTTATATTAGCTTACATTTCTTAATATTTTTTTTGTTTAAAAACTTGTGGGAAAGAGCGATGGAGTTTCGAGCCCCTGGCATTGTTACTCGTGTCTCTAGTACACGCCGAGTTTCGGATAATTGTAATGGTATCCAGAATTTTTATCAATAAAAAGATGAAGACAATTTGTTTTAAATGACGAAATCAATCATTTAAAAACTTACCAAAGGGTAGTCTTTGCATCACCGGCTACGCTCCCGCCATTTCCGTCAACACCGCCTTGTTGTACAAAGGCTGCAGGAGATCCGTTTTCCTGAACACCCTGCTGAATTGGTTGTTGCGGATTCATGCCTTGAGGTCCATCCTGGTGCAGACCATTGCCATTATCTTGAGAAAATTGCCCCTGTTGATTTGGATCGTATGAGAATGCCATCTTTTTAAGTGGTGAGCCCAAAGTTGATTAAAATAAAGGCGATATTCGTTTCTTTAATAATTCCTAGCTCTAATACCATAATTAGCACTAATAATCACATTTATTTATTGTCAGGGAACTGCTAGTGAGTTTAGAAGCCCTCCTAGTTTCATGCTCGGAATAAGGGAGAGCTAAGCCACTGCTGAACTGCGAGATAATCTTGTAAATATCCTGTTAGGAAATAGTTTAAATAGAGCTGTGGAAATATTTCGAACACCACAGTTTTCCAAGTTTCTCAAAGTCTTGGATCACTCGGTCAAGTATGCACAGTAAATCACCCTTGATATGCATTAAATTGAGTTTTAATTGATAGACTGAAATACTGGCGGACTTTATTGATAAACAGCTGTTTGAAAATAAACCTCTTGGATGAAATTGTGCTCTTTTATTTATAATCTGACACTAAATGCAGATTCAATTATTTCATCAATTATAACGAACATTTGCGTTATTAACAGTATTTTCTTGGCGTCTTGTCGACTATATCAGAACCAGCACTTGCGTAGTACAATAAAGGCTGAGCCCAGCCTTTTTGGAAAATAACGGTCAGATGGAGATTTCCATGATCGATACTGAGATGGCCATAGCTTTAAGCTTTGAGAATTGTTGAAGAGCTTAATAGAGGGATAGGAGACTAATTGGACATTGAATAACTATTAGTCGTAAAAATCGATACTTCGCAACTTATAATTTCTTCATAAATAAGAGTAGCAATTAATATCACACTCGATTTATTCTGAGTCATCAACTTGAAAATATTTCCTGATAGTAAATTGAAGTTTTTCAGATATCATGGCCTGTCAAACACAACCTCACATTACATGACGAAATGTGTGTGTGTCATAATGCTTCTATCGGATCTTTACGGATGCTGTCTGAACTCTCAGACCCTTTTATTTGATGGCTCGTTTCAAGATAGACTGTTGCCATTGTCTATACAAGAGCCTTGAAGATTGGTTATAAAAGGTGACCAGTTTTAAAGGGTATCAAGCGCTTGGTCGGAGGTATAAAAAAAAGATTTTGCCGGGCACGGAATAATTTTGTGCACAACTACGGCTAGCTCGGTTCTTTTAGGTCCTAGTCTTACTCTAAAAACTAGTCGGCTACTTTCATGTAAATTTGAGACAAATGCTAGTCGATGTAGCCTCTTGATGCGTCCAGCTTTAATCTATCGGGATTCTTTGGATTCTTCGGCTCGAGTTGCAGCCAGGTGTATTCCAGGAGAAGCATCCCAATAAGGATAGTTTGAAAGTCGCTCACCTTTATAATGACTCTGCTCACAGTTTCCAAGAATATATCCAGCGCAGGTCGTCAGTGCGTTAACTCAGGCAGGAAATAAAATGTTGCAAAGAACCGTGACACCCAACTTGTAGAAACCACTAGCGCCGATAAATTAAGCGAATGCCAAATTTGATCATAAATGATATTAATCGTTGATTCTGCTGGGGGTATTTCTAATCTGCTGGCACAACGGCACGGTTGTTAGTGAAGCGTTCAGAAGTTGAATTGGGGCAGGTTGATAGAGCTTCTTAGAGACCGGAAGCAGTATCGTGTAGCAACGGTTCAGCAATAAATTTCTATGAATCCTGAAAGGCTACTGTCTCTCTGTCGGGAAATATGCGTCTAGCGGAAGGTTGTTTGGTGTGATGGTAGCAACATTAATGATCAAATTCGCTTGATTTGCAAGTAAGCTTGTTTAAGACTTTTATTCAGCGACCATCATGAGGTGCGTAGTGATGCTGTGAATGGTGAAGAGTTGCGATAGCCAGGTGGGGATGAGAAAACGAATAGACTTAACTAGGTTCATACTTACTGATGATAAAGATCAGGCTCCGGCGAGTAAACAGGAATATCGAAAATAGTCAGCGATACGAAAAGACACCGATGACAAATATGTCAAGAGGAAATAATTGACGCAAACAAGACGGGCAATCGGACAATGAAAGTGGTAGCTTTCGAAATTGGGACGGAGGTTGAAGAGATGAGAAATAGAATTGTAGGGGGGCGTTGGGAGGAGTTAGTGGGGAGGACAGCATAGGTAAAGTCTTCCGTGGGTGGCGCTATGGGAGATGGCCGTGAGCCGAAGAAGGAGGGGGACTATTTCGTGGCCCAATCAGGTGAGGAAATGGATAAACCGGCCAAACTGTATTTAGCTGGGTGGATATGAGGTCGACCGAACAATAGGGACTTGTATACCTGAGGCATGACCTGATTACGAGTTTAGGAGTGCAGCTTGATTAGTCGCCTCTCAGCTATTCGCACACGGGCACACCAATGCTATATTATCACTTCTTCGTCTCGTGCCACTGTATCTTTCACATGTCCTGCTAGTCCAGACCCTCGTTCCCTCTAGCCGTTTAGACCTAAGGTGGGAGCAGAATGGCCGGAAGTTAAGCGTAGGTCCTTGGATGCTCCAAATTTTTGTGCACAGCTAAGGGTTTTAGCTAATTAGTTCGCTCAATTCGACCTCATCATTAAGCTATAAGTGTCACATTCGCGATCCCGGCCGTATAAATCTCAGCTGCCTAGCTTGCTCGCGCTTAAGGCAGCGACAGGGATATGCAGCGTGAGAAGTGACCAAGGATACAGGTAGCTAGCCCAGATTCATAAGAGGTTCCAAGGGCAGGCACAAATCGCTTGTAGGCGACCCAAGAACAGCGAGGTGCGGTAATCACTGGCGGCATGGATGGCTTCTACCGTTGATGCGACTGGGCGCATCTGGAGCAGTTTATTCTAATACAGCCCTCACTTGCGCGCTGTTCAAGGGCGAGAAGACCGCGTCGCTCATTCTATCCCGATCATGCCAAGTCCCAGAAGAAAATCAGCATGCAACAATGAGGTCAACAAGGCTTGATTCTGCTGACTTAGCGGCTCTTACCTCTACTTTTCATGTTTAGGCAGCGTTCGGTCCCTGGCTACTGTCCGGAATTCCTATTCGGAGCTTGGCAGGTGATCGCAGTCCGTGAGATAAGCACTTCGGCTAGAGTAAATGCAGCAGCGAAACAAATCTATGCATCTTCTACATAGCCGGAAACAGGGATCCTGCTTGATCCGGATGCGTCTAACTGATTTTATGCATGACATGGTGTTTAGATAATCATTCTTGTAAATATTGCCACCTCTGCCTGTAACTGAATTGTGCTACATCCAGACCCGTTTTGTTCTGTACTGGCTCTTGTAACAAGCCAAGACCACTCGGGGCCTAGATATGTTTTCATACCACTGCCTTCGTTCGAGTTTAATGCTAGGATCAATCTGGTTTGGTTTATTGGCCACTTGAGTCCATAACTATATCGTACATTGGGTTGGATGGTGCGGTGGTGCACCATCCGGGCCGTCCTCACAAGTAGATACTGAGTGGCTTGAACACCTACCCTATTCGAGACAGGAGAAAGCTGGTTCAAATCCAGTGTAACCCACACACCACTCTCTCTCGCGGTGATATTATACTTGTGGGATGATGAAAGCACACTCGGATAACCACAGTTTTTTCACGCTTTTCCCTGTGGTGGGTATGCACGGAAGAGGCTATACGCCGTAAGGGTTAACCTCGAGTGGTATCTGCAAATGAAATCTGAGTGTGAGTGTTCTAAATGTCAAATTGAGTCATCCTACTTGAAGTACATATCTTCCGATAAAAACCTGCATGGGCCTCAAGTCGCCAAATCAGGTAAAAAGAACTATATATATATATATATATCGTACATTGAGAAAACCCCGATTAGTTTCTATTCGACTGTAATCTTCTTGGAATTACTAGCCGACTTATTGTTTGTGTTTATTGTCTTATAAAGTCTATGATTATGTAAGGAAGTGTAAGTCCTTCCTGCCTACAGGCCGGCAGTATCTATGCCTTCTTCACGACTACCTTCCAGCAGTAATAACCCCACGGGTCTTCATTCGAGTATACACTAAGAGGAGCCCTTATCCCGTCATTATCTCCCCTCTCCTGCCAACGAAACGATGGCCATTTGCGGGTGTGTAGCTGCTTGGAAAAGCCTCAAAAACTGCTGGGTGAGGGGCTCTCCTATGACGAAGAGGTCGTCCAGCTGGGCGCAGCAAACCTGTGTATATCTAAGAGCGTCCATCAACTCTCCTAGCCTCCTTCTTAGTCCTCCTCTGATTCATGCCGCAGGACAAATCGAAGGTTGTGAAAGCATATCAGAAAAGTCTTGGTCGAGGGTGACTGCCGCGAGGAAGCCTAGCCTAGCATCCAAAAGTCGTAACGGACGTGGGGTTGTCGAGTAACTCATGTATTTCAGATGCCCTCCTGGCTAGTAGATTCGGAGGTATAGATTAGTATGGACGATATTTTTGACGAGTCGAAATCGGCTTTTCTTGAGGGCGGATGGGTCTTTTACTTTGTTTACGTGGAATTTTTGTTTGCCCGCCGGTGGGTAGCACATATTGTAACATAACAAGGGCTTCTCTAACTACCGTTAGCCAACTTACACTTCTACATGGAAAAAATCTTTATCCTATGATACTCATGTACATAAAATTGCTTACAGCTCCTCTCGAGGTGTATGTCAAAGATAGGGGCAAAGGTAGTCGAGTTCGGACCGCAGTGTCTATGAAAATGTATAGGTCAAAATTGGACATTCGGTCCAATCACGGTTCATAGACCTCTGACTGTGATATGTTGACAAAGTCTGTCTTGAATTTCAGCCATCGCGCCCGTGAAAATAGAAAGACATCCATCGGATATCTTCCGCTCGCGAACATCCCCATTTATTACTTTTATTTATAAACTCTCGGCGATCTTCGTTTGAAAATAATCATTGAAAATAGTATTCCAAGTTATTGATAATTCAAGGTTGCATATCGTTAGCTAAATTCGAAGCGGCAAATTCTCGTCTCAAGTCACTACGTGTCTTAGCTCTTCAAACTCTTCCTGAATGTTCGGACGGTAAAAGGTATGAAAGCATTGAATTTAATTTATGTGGGTCTTTTTAGCCTGA